CTTAAATGAAATTGAATTATTAAAATATTTTAATTTTATTGCAAATATTTTGACCTAAAATCAAAGTCAATTGTGAAAATTTATTTAGTTTATTTTTAAATAACTTGAAGTGAAAAATTTATATATGTTCACAATTTGTAGAGTTAAAAACTTGATGTAATGCAATATTTAAATACAAAAGATTAATGATAGTTTTAAAAAAGCCAACAGTTTTTCAGTAATTTATTAAATTTTTACAACAGTAGACATTAATACGGCGCATCAAAAGAATNGTAATTAAAAAAATTTAAAAATGTTAGAGAATTTTTAGATAAATCTTTATTCTATCGATCATATTTTAAGTGCAAGTTTTAGATTTTTTAGTTTTTTTGTTGACTATTTGTGTTTTTCAAAACCTCATGACACAGCAATTTGTGCAATATTGCATTGTACTATAATAAATTACAATAGCAAACACAAAACATACGTTTTTTACATTCAACTAAATTATATAAATAATAATGTTTTACCTGAATAAACTAAAGTTTTAACTCTTTTATATTTACAGAATGATTTTGGAAAAATCACAAAACGATTCCGAAATACTTTTGCTAAAAACAAACAAAGTCAGTTTTCGTTAAACACCGTTTCAACACAGGTTTGATATTTTTTTATTTGTGTGCATCTTTTAGTTTTTAAAACTATTTTGAAAAATAATAAATTTGACTGCTTTTTGTAAATTGCATTTTTTACTAACACGCATTTTTCCTTTTTCTTTTTGTTTAAATTTTTTATGTAAATTTTTTCTCTGTGTTACTTCCGGTTCATCAATGCTCAGCATTTGTAAAAACTCATCTATTGTCAATGCTTTCATATTTTTAAAATGTGTTTTTAATTTTATATCAAGTCATTAAAATATTAATGAAATCTGCTTTTTTGCAATAATATAAATTAATTCGTTGCATTATTGCCAAAAATAATAATTTTTATTGGTTTGTGAATTATTTAAAGGTCACTAAACACAACAAAAAACATCCAATATTAAAATACAGTTTGATCCATTATTTATAATAAAGTTTGTAAAAAAATTTAATAAATAACAAAAACTTTCTATTTTTACAATTTTTGGTTTTAAATGATTTAGGTATAGCACTTTTGTTATAAATTTTAATCAACATTTTAACAAGTAAAATGTTTCAAAACTGTTTTTAATCTTTGGCAAAAAATAGGCATTTTAAGTAACTATTTATATGTCGCTTGTAATTTTCTAACTGACTTATTTTCAAAACAAGCTAATATTTGCAAACACAAAAACTTTCAAGTATTGACATTTATAGCTCATTTCATGCTTAAATTAAAAGATCATGACATGCTCAAAAAGTTTTCTAAATTGCTTTACTACTCGATTTCTTTGACTTTTTTGTGAAATTTATTGATTTATGCAATTTTTAATGTGCATTAAAGAAACACTTGTGTTTTATCACTCAAACTAGTATTCATACTTTCTGGCATAAAAATACTCAATTGATCACAATATATTAACTGTGTCAAAATAAAATGCATTTTGATGATTTTGACGTTTATTATTGTTTTGCAACGTATCAATTTGTTTTTAGAAATTGAAACGGCATTTTTATACGCCTGTTTTATTATTGAAATGAACATTTTATTTATTGTTTTTGATAACTAAAACATGCAAACTCTAAAAAATTTTTTATTTGAAAACCGAAAATTAAAAATGTTTTTTTATAAACTTGATTTAAAGCAAAGTTAGTTTGTAAAACTATTAAAAAATTTGAATTTTGAACTGATTGTTTTGTATTGAAAACTGATTGTTTAATAAAAGTTTTATTTAAAAAAACAATTTTTTGTAAAAAGTCAAACAAACAATAATTTTGCAAATCTTGTTGAGGTTCATTTTAAGGCAAAAACATCCAAGTATTATTAAACTTTTGAGCTTAAAAGTTTTTATGATGTATTGCTAAAAAATTTATTAAAAGTCAGAACACAATCATTTTTTTTCATTTGTGACATTTTTTAAACGGTTCAATTTTTTGCATGCATATTCAAACGACACTTAAAATAAAAAAAATAAAATTTAAAAATATTTTTTTTAAAGTTTAAAACCAATTTTAAAAATAAAAACATGTTGATTGTTTTTATAAACAGTATAATTGACTAAAAGCAATGCACAAATTAGGCACAGGTAGTCAAAATATAAAATATTATTAAGCTTAAATTTTTGCTAAAAAAACTACCTTATTCAAATGTCAAGTTTTGTTTATTTAAAATATTTGAAAACAGTAAAAAGCACTTGTTTGTAATCAAAGCAAACATTAACTGCGCCAGCTGTTATGCACATCATTAGACTGTTCAATTTTAAAATTTTTTATTTTACGTCATTGTATAATAAAAGTAAATTACTGATATACTCAATGTATATCAAAGTGGCAAATTGTTTTAAAAAAATAGCAAATAAAGATTTAGAATCTGCACTCTTTCATTCTGCGTTAGTTTGTCGCTAAAATGCAAATTCGTGTTTAGCTACGCATGCAAATGAAACTGGTGAAGAAAGCAAATCATTGTGCAATAGTAAAAAACTACAAAATGAAAAGGTAACTAACGATAGAAAAAAAGATGGTGTGATGATAAAAAACTACAGTCAAAAGAAAACGCATCTGAGCCGTTAATAATAAGTCAGTTGAAGGTAACACGGGCGGACATTATTTGCATGTGCTGGGACGAAAAAGAACATATAAAGTTTCATTAGACGTCCTGGTCCTACTGGCTTACTAGAGTACGCTCTCTGAATTGATAAGCCAAACAAACATTGGCTGTGGCTACAAAAAATTCAAATTGAAGGAAATTGACCGAGAAGCTCGTGTAAACGTCATTCTAAACTAGTACCGTTAATACGCATCAATGATCATTTTGCTTTGAGTTTCAATCTTTTTTTTCACAGTATCCAACTAACCAGTAAACTTATTTGTTTGTTTTTTATTAGTAGTTTTTGTTTAGGCTAATTATGATGCTATATTAAATTATGTAACTTCGTTTATCTTATTATGTTTCAGCTTTGCTGGGTCGTGAAAGATAAAACCTATATTTTACTATTAAATACAACAAAATTATATTAAAAGAATGTAAGATAATTTTCAATAAATGTTTTTATTTACAAAAAAAATCTAAACTATTTTTACAAAAATCTGATTGTACTTTACAAACATTAAAAGTTTTTGAAATATATAAAACAATCTTAAACAAAAATAAAAAACTGTCAAATTTAAGTTAAACTTTTAAAGTATAAAACTGTGCCTCTATAAGTTTTAAAACTTTTTATCAGAAATTTTACTCTTGAGTGAATATTTATTGTTGTTAAGTGCATGTGCATTGATTCTATAGCACTATATGTCACCTGCAGCCTTCCGGTTAATCTTTATGATATTTTTAAACTTACCTAAACTTGGTAATTACATAGAAGTAAAAATTATTGAAAAAAATTATTGTCACATAAGCATTTTTGAGAAATTAGACTAGTTGGGCTCAAGTAGGCTTTGTTAAGTTTTAATATTTAGTTTACAAACAGTTTGTAAGCATTTTTTAAAATAAAGCTTTCCTGTAATGTTTTATTTGAAAAGGATTGTTTTTTGATAAGTTTTAAAACATGTTGATTATTATAATTAGATCTATTAAACTATAATTTAAAAAATACAACTTTGTTCAAGTAAAAAAGTAATTATAATAGTTTGTAAAGTATACTTTAACTAAAATTTAAAATATTAATAACAGTATGCGATAGTCTAAACATCAAAAACAAGTTTTTAACAACTATTTATTTTAAAAGTTTTAAACATATTTGTTGAAAAACAATTTTAATGTTGATTATCTTTGCGGGATACTTTCCATAAAAATATTTTTATTTTACCTGGCTAGCAAAATTTGCAAAAAAAATTTTTACAACATAACAAGTTTGATATATGACTTTATTTACTGCTTCGTAATCACTACAGATTTTTATGCCAACATGACAAACTTTTCTGTTGTCCAGTTTTCACCTACTTTAATTTGAGTGCATAATATATTCTGACTTGGTCAATGTGTTTTCATGCACTCTTCCTAATCCGCCGTATATCATTAATTGTGAGAAAACAAATTAGCTAGAAGACATTTTTATTTTTTTTGACAAAAAATTTAATGCAGTTTTGTAGAAAAAAATTGACAAAATGGTACAGTCTGGTTAATGTCAATAAAAGTCAATTAAAACGTTGCTATTACAAAAATGAAAATAGTGGTCAGTATAGTTTTGGCATTTTTATAATATTAACTACAAATTTTTCAATTTTTTATTAGTTTTTTATGATTTGAATTTGCATCTTAATAAACGTTGAACTGCTAATGAATAGGGATGTTTATTTTGCTGATAACTTTCAGAATTGTGCTTTAAGCACACTTCCCGTTTAGTGATAAAATCGCAGTTGCCGACGGAAATGAGAAAAATTTTTGCACAGGTTAGGGAAAATTTAATACAATGCTATTTCGATTGAGAGTAATAAATATTCATTGACGCAGAAAACCAATCACTTTCATTCCATTTTTTAAAAGACAACTGTGATTTTTGTAGTACAAAAAGTACATATGTTTTTTTGGTATGCTATTTCCCAATTAGTGCTCCAGTCACAAGCAAAGTCTGTCACGACAGTGAACGAATGGTACTCTTGTGCCAGGCACAACATTTATCTCCACCTCAACTGATAGTCTCCGCGTGAATAGGACACACTTAAGCTGCACTTGACTAGTAAAATTGCTTATCGGTGCATTTGCTGCTAGTGACTGACTATAGAAAAGCTGCTAACACATTTGCTGCTGTTGCGCAAAAAGAAACGATTCCAATGATACAAACGATATATAAGCAAAAACAACTGGGAAACAATGACAGATTCACTTATAGAAAAATTCCTTCACTATTTACTAGTGCCATCAACACCTAACGATCCTCAGCATCATTACCCTCATCATTAGCAATGAGTCAACAGCAATCGCCGTCAGTATTGAAGGCAGCCGGCAGCGGTGGTGAAGAGCCTCTGCTCTTTACGCCACTGCAAATCGGCAATGTGCACCTTCGAAATCGAATCGTCATTTCGCCAATGTGCATGTACTCCGCCGTAGAGGGACACGTCAACGAGTGGCACCTCGTCCACCTGGGCGCGAGGGCCATCGGCGGCGCCGGAGTAGTGATGATGGAGGCGACCGGCGTAGAGAGACGAGGTCGCATATCACCAGGCTGCCCCGGTCTCTGGAGTGACGAGCAGATTGAGCCGATGAGAAGGGTGACAGCATTTGTGAAGGCACAGGGCGCAGTGCCGGCCATTCAGCTGGCGCACTCGGGTCGAAAGGGCTCCACTGTGCCACCCTGGGTGCACCGCAACCAGGCACTCCCACCGGAGGAGGCCTGGCCGACCGTCGCTCCAAGCCCTATTGGTGAGTTAGTGAAAACTGTTTTGCCNCGGGTCGAAAGGGCTCCACTGTGCCACCCTGGGTGCACCGCAACCAGGCACTCCCACCGGAGGAGGCCTGGCCGACCGTCGCTCCAAGCCCTATTGGTGAGTTAGTGAAAACTGTTTTGCCAATGCCAATAAAACAACTTTGAACCCTCTTCCCAATCAGCGTACGGCGGTGGCAATGAGCAGGTGCCGAAGGAAGCGACACTGGACGACATCAAAGGCTTCATAACCTCCTTCAGCAGTGCCGCCAAACGTGCCGTCAAAGCGGGCTTCGAGATAATCGAGCTGCACTTTGCGCACGGCTATCTGGTGCAGACATTTCTCTCTTCATTATCCAACCAGCGGACTGATCAGTACGGAGGCAGCTTTGAAAATCGAATTCGCCTTGCCCTGGAGATTGTGAAATCCGTGAAGGAGGCGCTGCCAACCGGGTTTCCCCTCTTTGTGCGCATCTCCGCCGACGACAACATGCCCAATGGTGAGGGCTGGAACTTGTCGGAGTCGATTGAGCTGGCGAAGCGCCTCAAAGACGCCGGTGTGCACCTAGTGGACGTCAGCACCGGGCTGAACTCGTGGAAGGCCAAGACGTGGTTTGAGAAGAGCTCCATTGATCAGGTGAAAATGGCCGCCACTATTCAGCGAGAGTCAGGCATTGCCACCGGAGCCGTCGGCGGCATTGTCAGTGCGCAGTACGCCGAGAAGGTGCTGCGAACGAAGCAGGCGACGTTGATCTTCATTGGTCGTGTCTCGCTGGAAGATCCGCACTGGCCGATTCATGCCGCCTTTGAGTTGAATGCCTCCACGGCGTACGAACTGCCCAAGCAGTACGTCTGGTCCATTGGGCTGCCTAGCTGGAGAGCAAACTTTCTGCTGAATGGAAACAGAGACAAGCTCAATGGCGAGGCGTGAAATGAGGATTTTGCTGTTGCTACATCTGGCATTCTCTTTCATTGATGAACCACTTGTTTTCATGATATGTTTGTGCAGTACCACTGTTTTCATCAATAAACTTAATGTTTGGGTTCTTTCACATTGGACCGAGTGCATTCACACATTACAGCAGCAGCAGCAATTATAAGCAGACTATGTCTGCATTACACTGGTACTACAATGGCAATCCATTAGCGGCAGAAACAAACAGACTTTTCAATCCATTAAAAACAGTGTCATCGCACATACTGTTAACACAGTAGTAGTAGGAGTAGTTTACCCGATGGAGAACATCATCATTTGTAGGGCACACTAATAGACACATTTTCAGCCATTTCTGCCATCACTGTAGTTGTATCAAATTGATCAGTCGGCGTTCGCCCAACATCAGGTACGCCGTCATTTCGTAGGCAAGTGACGCAACGGCTGCGCCCATTCCAAATGACCACAAGAAGAAAATTGACTTCAAGTCGCTAATCG